AATATAAAGGCATTGTGTCCACCTACAACTAACAAATATATATTTTTTAAATTGGTCACATAAGGTCCCACCTAGGACTGTAAGAAATTGGGAGGTGAGAGGATGGAGATGGGGAATGAAAGGAAGATGGGGAATGAAAATTTGCAGCTGTAGGTAGTACTCTGTGCAATTCCAAAAGGGGTGGATTAGAGAATACAACTCTTAAGTTTCTAAAGTAAAAGCTAGGTCAAAGTACATTCTACCATCATGTATATCTAAAAAAGAACAAACAAAAAAAGATAAAGGTTATGTCTTTTAATCTGTCTGAACAAGTACAGATGGAAATTTCATTAATGTTCGTTTCTTTGGAGACTCATGTTCCTCAAAATAATAAAAACTAATAAGATGGATAATAGGATATCAAAATCTAACTCTGAAGCCACTCACCTGTAAAGCAGATGAAACTCTGGGAAGATAATATATGGATAATTAAATAGCACATTTGTCTTAAATACAGTATGGGACAGTGCAATTAATATAGGATTTGATATCAGTGAAGAAGATTCAAGTTCAATCTCTGCTTGCCAGCTGTCTGATCTTGCACAAATTATTCAAATAATTAAATAGATTTTAATTCAATTTAATTCAAGAATTAAATGGATCTTATGGGGGGAACATTTTAATACAAACAGTTTTATATAAGTGTATGTTTTGTATTATATGATACCAGGTCRTTATGACCTGGGTCTCCTTTCCAAAACTCATGCTGAAACTTAATCCCCAAAAAGATATTCTAATGGATTGGGAGATGGGGCATTTGGGAAGGGATTAGGATTAAATGAGGTCATGAGGATGGGAACCTAAGACTGCATTAATGTCTTTGTTACAAAAGGAAGAGGGAGCAAGCTATGTGATATCCTTCACCATGTCATGACCTAACATATAAGTCCTCACTAGATGCCACGCAGGTAGCAGTGTCAAGCTCTTGGATTTCCAGAACTGTAAGGTAAATAAATCCTTTATAAATTACCCAGTCCAGCTGTGAACTGTGGCACAAGCCTATAATCCCGCTACTCTGGAGGCTGAGGCAGGAGGATCACAAATTCAAGGACAGTGTGGACAACATATCAAGACCTCATCTCAAAATATAAAATAAAAAGGGCAAGAAGTATAGCTCATTGATAAGAGTGCCACTGGGTTCAATTCCAAGTACTGAAAAAGTAAACAAATAAATTACCGAGTCTTCAGTATTAAGTTATAGCAACAGAAAATCAAGGTGCAGGTTAAATAAACTGGGCCTTACAATTCATGGTTTTCTCATTTGGTGATGGACATGGGATTGAGGGGAGGARGATTCCTGAGGAACTACAGCATAAATACTGTTCACTTAACAGAAAAATCATTTCTACCACTTAATGCAGATATAAAAACAATAAAGTTATGGCCTTCATATGACCTCAAAATACGCTTATCAAGTGGGTGCTCYTGCCTCTCATAAATACATTCTGATGCAAAATACTTGCCAGAATTAATTATAAATGCATCAGTGGTTGTAAAAGTTTTTCTGTGGGTCTAAACTAATCAAGCCATAGCCTAGATCACAAATAAGAATTAAAATCTTTTCAGGGAAATACAATAGGGAAGGGCCAACTCCAACACTATTCATTCATTACTCAGTCCCTACTGTACATTAGGCTCTATTTCAAGTGTTGGGGATTCAATTTTAACACATAGAAAGTTTTTGCCATAATGGAGTTCATATTACAGCAGAAAAACAGAGTAAACAAATTTATAGTAGAGGTCAATGGTGACTGAATGCTACAGAAAAAAAAAAAAAAAACCAAGCAGAGAAAAGGGCTATAATTTGAAATAGGGTAACCAAGGAAGGCTTCATGGAGAAGATGCCATTTAAGGAAAGACCCAGGGAGACAATAATGGAGCCATATAAACCTCTCTGGCAAGTTCACATAAGACAAAATGCAACCCCTTACCTTTCAAAAGGGGCTGGAAAGTTGGAATCTCTTGTAACTTGATGACATCAGGATCATTGCTGACATTCCGTGAGGCCTGAGAGCCCTGAGCTACAACCACAATATCATCCATCTTGGCTCTATGCTTAGCTGGAGAAGGAGTCACTGAAAATAAAGTTACACTGCTCAGGAACTGCATAGTAGCACTCTGCTTCACCACAGCTGTTTTCAATGTAATAATTAGAAAGAGTATTTTTACATCATAAAATCTAGATTTTTTTTTAGGTAGGAGGATGAATTCTTGGAGAACCTCTATTTTCTGTGGTATTAAAAAAAATCCAAGCATTACAGGAATATAACATGTATGAACTTTCACAACTAGACATTTTATTATTCAGTACACTAAAATATAGGCAGGTTGTGTTTTAAACTTTTCCTTTGATTCCCCTGATCCTTCTGACATATGTCCCTATTTTACAAATGAGGAAATGAGTGTACAAAATTTGGCTGTGATTTGACCAAGATCAATACTAGGAAAAGTTAGAAAAGAAACTGGGAATGCATGGGTTGTTGGTGCAAATAGGGTTGCAAAGCTATCTACCTTACCACAGCCCGCCAGGTGTGTTTATAATAGAGTCTAGTCATGGGGAAAGCCCCTGGTCTCAACTCAGATGATAGATCTATTCTTGAAACTCCAGTCCCTTTACCTCTGTTACAGCATTACTCCATGGACAGAAACAATCAACAGGTCTATTCTAGGCCCAGGCAAAATTCAAAAGTTTGGAGAACCGCTACAGAGGCAGGTCAATTTCAGGATCCTTAGGAAAATGTAATCCATTTGGAGGAAAGAAATTCAAACCATAAAGGATTCCCAAACCAAGACCTGCCCCCCAAACATCTTCCTGGTTAGGGCAAGAATGAATTCTTGAAGTGTGTTACATTCTAGAGGGGTAGTATTCTCAGGTTTATCATGGCCATGTCTCAAAGGTGCATCCAGGAGATGTTACTGAACTGCTTTGCATTCTGGAATTTGGTCTCCTGATTCTTGGCATTCACTCTTTTAGAAAAACCTCTGTGGGGCTGGTGCTATAGCTCAGTAGTAGCGCACTTGCCTGGCATGTGTGAGGCACTGGGTTTGATTCTCAGCACCACATATAAATAAAATAAAGGTCTATCAACAACTAAAAAAAAAAAAAAGAAATCTTTGCTACTTTCATTCCTCTTCAAGAAAGATTTCTTAATCACTTTTGGCAAATCACCTAACATTTTATAAAAGCAATGACAAAAATCTTTCCCATTATAAGTGTGATTCCTCCTTCCCCAGACTCCAGTGGAGAAATACCTTCTTCACAACATTCTAACTGGCCTCTATTATYTTATCCTTAAAATGAAGGTACTGTAAAGATTAAACATAAACATATGTAAAGCACTTGAGGGAATAGGCAAATTCTAACATCAGGCATGAACCTATGATGTTAGTTCACGGGTGAACAATGAAATTAAAAATGCCACCCCGCTTTCCCCAAACTGCTTCTGACCTGAGGGGCAAGAAATTGAGAGGCAGCCATTATTACTGTGTTTGTTATAACRTATGATATTCTGAGGAAAGAATGTTAACAAAGCTAGTTGATGTTGCTCACCTTTAAAAGCTGTTCCAACATAACCCCCCCACAACTCAGGTCTGAACTAATCCTGAAGGACATCCTTCAAAGTGAATAATCCCTAGATCTGTTAGCTTGTACTTTTCAGAATGACAAATTCTACCAGGAACAGAGCAATTCTAAAACCAGGACACTTTATAGGTCCCAGAGTTAATTAGAATTAGCAGGCCTGAAGCTTATTCAGAGCATTCCTAGCAGTCCCAGGATTTGTGGAGGAAAAAAAAAAAAAAAAAGGGAGGGGGGGAAATGTTCCTCAATTAAACACTTTTTTTTTTTTTTTGAGGACTCACTATATTCTCAGCATAGTAATTTTCCCATTCCTACCTCAAACTACAAAAATATGGACAGGAGGAGAATAGAAGAGTTTGCCATTTGACCAACTTCTATACTATCAGAAAAGAAGCCAAGACACCTGAGGGGAAAAGGCAGTTTCTGGAAACCTTTACATCCAAAGGTTCAGGGAGACTGTACAGCTATCACACATCTTAAACCCGTTTTTTAAGAAAGCCAGTTTTGGAGGTCCTGTTTATGATCCATCCATTGTGTGAACCGAATCTCAGTATCTCAGTGGCCAATACTAGAGCCAAAAATTAATCAGGTCATTGTTAAAAAGATTACACTGCAGCTGAAGAAACGGCTGTTTTTAAAATTAATAATGGGCCTCGGTGCCTGCATTGGCTTAGGGGAAATCAAGGCTGGGACAGACGGTTACTTTTTTTTTAAGGAAGCATGGTGAAGGCTTTCTACGCGCTGCCGCCGGCCGTCCTGGGAGGCAGCCTGCTCGCGAGCAGACCAGCCGGCTGGAGGAGAGCAGCAAGTTAGGGCACCGACCTGAGGAGTTCAGATCGTTGGGTCGGCTCTCGGCCTCGGAGCTCTGCTCACTGCCCATGGTGCCAGCAGCGGTGGCAGCGGAAGAACGCGGGGCGGGGCAGTGACCGCTCCGGCGACAGGGCAGGGACTGGGGACCGGGACGGGGACGCTAGACAGTCTGGGCGCCGCGGTGAAGCCGGGAAGATGCGCCCAGTCCGCGCAGGGTCCGGGGCGGCCGGGATAAGGGGCCCTATTTGGGGAACAGACGTGCGAAGAGGCGCTGCGCGGATACACGCTGCTCGCCCTCTTTCCTTCCGAGAGCCCTAAAAGAAGAGGCGGGGKACACCAGCATTGCGGCGTCTGCGACCGGCGGGCGGCGCCGCTTTCACTCACTGGCTCGAACCCCGCAGCTCGCTCCTTCCGGGACGCGGATTGGCGGCTCCGGCGATTCGAGGCCTTCAGTTCCGGGTTATGAGGCGCCCCCACCGCACCCCACCCCACTGCCAATGGGAGGGAAGAGGAAATCAGCTYCCCGGCCTAGAATGGTGCCTCCTTAAAGGGCCCGGCCACCTCTAAGAGCCTGACCGCCTCAAAGCTAGAACTGGCCTAAAAGGGTAAGCCCTTTCCTAYTGTAAAGATGCGTCGCCTTTAAGCACCACCCACACATTGAGCATTCTCACACCCATATACTAGAACGACTTTTCAAAATAGGTATTTTGAAGTCTGTTTTACAAATGGAGAAAGAATGGTGCTACATAAACCTAGGATGCAAATCCTCAACCGTCCGGATGGAAAGCTTTGAAAACTGGGAGTTTGGAAGTGGAAAATCACACACACACACACACACACACACACACACACACAAATATATATATAGAGAGAGAGAGAGAGAGAGGGTGAAGGAAATAACTGGAAATGAGATGAAAATAACAAATTGAAAATGCTGATCACCTAATTAGTGTGAGTGTGCATCTTCAAAGGTAAGTAAATGATCCTACATCATAGACACTCTCTGGGCGTCTTGACAATTACCAGGTTACTCTGGAACTCGAAACAGGTGAGCAAGAAATGCAAGTAATGCAAAATGGCAGATTTGGCGGTTCGAGGATGTAAACTAGCAATGCCATGCCATCAAGGAGTTGGGTGCCCTAGGATTCTCAGGACTTTGCAACTTATTTTATACTGTTTCCTTCAAGAAATTACAAGCCAATACCTTGAGATTTTATTTGCATAAATACTATTTCAGGAATGTTGAATTGACTAAACGATGTTTAAGTCTACTCCACTATATCACAGGTGTGTCCCCTATTTTACCTCATTTAGTTTTAATGAAATTTGRTTTCATAATGTTAAGAACTGTCTGATTTCAAACTTGGTGCTCTTTCCTCTAATTTGTTTGCAATGAGAAAATTGCAAACAAATGTTAAGTTCCGTGTTCTAAGAGAATATGAAGATAGAACTAAAAACTGCCTGAGATCAGAATAGGCTCCTAAAAGGTGGTGAACCTATATTCTTGAGGTTCACATAAGCCTCAAGGGATAAGGGATTAGGAAGGACTCACTAAGCAGGTAAACCATTTCCTCYTGGAGAGCCCTTTGCTAGCCTTCCAGATCTGCCCTCCTTAAGAGTGAGAGAGGAGATAAAAGGGGAGTGGAATAAAGACTCATTCTAGTTCTTGTCCCCTCTCTTCCACATCAAAGTGTGTTTGTTTTGTGTCCCATACTCAACCCATAGTGACATTATGATGTTGTTAATGCTTCCCTTTGGGTGACTATTTCATTTTAAAAGAGAGGTTCTGTCCCATCTCCTGATGAATGGAGAAATAAAATTGGTACATGCATATAGTGCAATATTATTTGGCCAAAAAAGGGGAGTAAGTGCTAATAAATTCTTTTACATTGATAAGCCTTTTTTCAATCAGCATCATGTTTTCAAGTTTTATCACAGAAGCCCATATGTTGGACTGGGGATGTAGCTCAGTGGCAGGGTTCTAGATCCTGGGTTCCATCCCCAGCGCTGGAATKGGGGGGGGGGAAGCCATATTGCCACATATTGTAATTCCATTTACATGACAGGTCCAGAAGAGGCATTACAGGTATAGAATAGATCTGTGGTGGCCTAAAGCTGAAAAGGAAGCTGAGGGGGATAAAGGGAGTGATTACTAATGGGATATGGGGGCTTCTTTCTGAAGATGTGGGAAATGTTCTAAAATTTWTTGTGATGGTGGTTATACAACTATTTTAAAAACCACCGATATGTACACTTTAAATGGGTGGATTGTGTGTTATGTAAATTTATCTCCATAATGTTCTATTCAGAAAAAGGATATCTGAAAATGTAATGCCCTTGTTGACTAACTCAATATTTACAGGAGGCTGCAATGTGCTGGGGGCTTGTTAGAGTCTAAGAGATCCAATAAACCCCAGGCCCTGTCCTTAGGAAACTTATATCCTGGTGGCAAGAAAATGAAATGAGTGTTTTTATAAGGATTCTAATGGTGGAATTTTATAGAAGTAGGAAACATTTGGGATTGATGCCTTTTAGCACCCCAAAATCACTTCCACATGAGTAGCAAGTTGTGTTTGTTATTGTATGTGCGATAATGAACAACTGAACAGTCTTTTCAAGTTAATAAAGTACTTTCATATATATATTAGCCTCATGTGACCTGCCTATAAAGTAGAAACTACTTCCTTAATTTTACAGAGAAGTGATCTAGGTCACACAACTAATTAGTGAAAAAACCAGGACTCAAATTTTCTAAGACTTTTTCAAATTAACTACCTGGCAGTCCCATCCATCGGGTCTCCCAAGCCAGAAATCTGTTTACCTTTACCACTACCCCAACCAGTCGCTAAGTCCTGGAAAGCCTGTCTCTTCTATATCTGTACCCTTTGAGGGGCTCATCAATTCTTCCATTTTCTGGAAGACACAAGGACTCTGACCTCACCTCCTTCAGTACATTCTCCATGGGCAGGAAGAGAGAAATTTCCAGAATATTAATTGTTTTTTCTGATTAATATTCTCTGTTCCTCTCTGTATATAGGCAATGTTCATGCCAGGTGGACTGAATTTCTAAATAGTCGTGCTTTTTCCATCTGGACTAGTTAGCCTTTTCCTCCCAATCTAGCTAAGTGAATTTCATCCTAAGGAATGTTAAACCTAAAAAGATTTAACCTAGGTATCCCTTTCTGAAAGGCCCACCTCTGAACTTCCATGGTTAGCAGCTTCCATCAWAACATTTATTCTTTCCATAACCACTGGTTTTCTTGTCTGTCTCTACTGAATTACAAACATCTTGAAGGTAGAGCTCATGTCTTATTGTTCTTCAATTTTCCTTACAGGCACTTAATCATGTTTTCTTTCTTTTTATTTTTTATTTGTTGGAATTATAGAAGGACARWATGGCTTTTTAAAATTTATTTATTCTAATTTGTTATACATGACAGCAAATGCATTTCAATTTATAGTACACATATGGAATACAAATTTTTATTTCTCTGGTTGTATACAAAGTAGAGTCACACCATTCCTGGTTCAAAAATGTGTCATTTTGGAGGTATGTCTGGGGGTGGGAGTGAGGGGAACAGTGATTTAGTAACAAACTTCTACAATCTATGCACATTTTCCATTGTTTGGCAACAAATATATTTTAGTTAAATATTTACTGAGGGGCTGCAGTAGGGGCTCTAGAGGTAGAGCATTTGCCTGGCATGTGTGAGGCCCTGGGTTCAATCCTCAGCACCACATATAAATAAATAAATACATGTACCTAGGGTAATGATGTCCATCTCATTCCACCATGCTCCCTTCCTCCCCAACAGCATATCCTTGTTTTATTTTATTTTTATGTGGTACTGAGGATTGAACCCAGTGCCTCACACGTGCCAGGCAAGCACTCTGCCACTGAGCTAGGGCCCCAGCTCTTAATCATGTTTTCTGAATAAAATACTTTTTWAAAATGCCTTTACATAGATGGGACTTCTAAGCTCTCAAGAGAAGAGGATTAATAATCTTCAAGCAATGAGGCAACAATGGATATGGTTTCTAGTTTAAACACCTGTTTCATATGAATAAAAAATCTTCCTTAATTATTATTTTTGTCCTTTGTTCACTGTTGTCACTTCAACAAWAACAGTTCATTGTATCAAAATACTAATCTGAATTTTTTTTTTTTAATTTTTGGTACTGGGAATTGAAACAAAGGGTGCTCTACCACTGAGCTATATCTCTACCCCTTTTTATTTTTCATTTTGAGACAGGGTGTTGCTAAGTGGCGTAGGGCCTCAAAAAACTGTTGAGGCTGGCCTTGAACTTGGGATCCTCCTATCTCAATCTCACCAGTCCCTGAGATTACAGGAGTGCTCCACCATGCCTGGATAATCTGACATTTCTAATGATGGAAAGGTCTACTAGGATGGACTTACACAACAGCCCCAWCAACAGAGATAAATGCACAAATGCATCAATCAATCCCTTACTGTATAAGGACAGTAACTTCGGTGGAAAATCACTCTGGAGTTTACTTTTCTTTGGTAACCCTTTGAAACCAAAATGTGGCAACATTATTTTAAGTGGAGAGTAGGTCATCCTCTGAATACAGCTAGTCCAGTCAGTTTCACAGACTATTGTTGACAAATTTTCTGACAATATATACCTCCTATAGCTATTGGTTAAAACTAGGGTGTAGCTGTTGGCTGTATAAGCCTACATTGCATAATGTTTCMGGTTCCATAGCTCTTTCACACCAAAGTAAATATATTGTCAAAGGTTAAACCTTTTGGCAGAGTATGTCAGTGGTTAAAAAAATATGTCATTTGGGAGATGTATCTGGGGGTGGGAGTGAGGGGAGAAGTGGTTTAGTAACAAACTTATGTGCAATCTATGCACATTTTCCATTTTTTGGCAACAAGTTAAATATTTACTGAGATATTGCAGTAGTGGCTCAGTGGTAGAGCACTTGCCTGGCATGTGTGAGGCCCTGGATTGAATCCTCAGCACTACATATAAATAAATAAATAATATAAAAGATCCATTGACAGCTAAGAAATATTTTTTAAAAAATTTACTGAGCACCTATTACATACCAAGTACTAAGCTAAGTGTTAGGGATACAATTTTAACTATAACATGTTGTTTTCAACATCATTATTAGCCACACCTAAAAACAGTAAATCTTGCAGAAAATCGCATGCTTTCCTCCAGGTTTGCAGGGCACATAATATTTAACTCAAGAATTGTCGAATCTAATTGAAGACTCTCCATTATCCAATTATGGAAATACGATCYTCATGACTATATTCCAAATAAGATGCACTGTACATTTCCAAACATCAACAAACTGCTCTCAGTGGTTGTCTCTGGGACGAGGGACTAGGAGATTGGGACAGTGGAGCTGCGAGAGGGGGGCATTTACGTTTGAGTTTTTTCCCTTGTGCTTTGGTGCGCTCTGGGCCTCACAGAGGCGAGAAGGCACAGCTGCAGAGCCTCGGGCTGCCTGCAGTCTCGCGCCCACGCCTCCCCTGCAGCGCTCACAGCCCGGGGCAGGCCGGGTGGAGSGAGCTGGGTGAGGATGCCTGAGAACGCGGGCTCATTCCGGGGCTCCGCACTGGGT